AAGAAGAAGTAGATTGATTCCCTTGCCAACAATAATCTTGAGTTATCAGAAGTAGTTGGAAATAGATCAGTCATGATTTTATTAAGTGGCAGAGCAGACTTCAGTGATAAATGGTCTACTTTTGCTCCTTTTTTTTATATTTGTGTATGCATGTAATGTGGAATCAGAGAGAAATTTTTAAAAATATAAAGGTAAAAGTAATACAAAAATAATTTACCACATGTCCAAAAAAAATAACATTCTGATCGAATGAAACTCAATACTTACAAAGTCCACTTTTTAGTTTGGCAATAATTGCAACCTATCACCTTTAAGACTTCACATATACTTGAATGCATCGGTGTGGTTGCACTGAGTAGCTAATTAGGAAGCAAAGTTAGTTTTATGGCCAATGTTTCAATGACCAGCTACAGTTCAGGGCAGCACATGGAAGAACAGGGCAAGACATTAATCTACTACAGATTTTCCCAATTAACTGTGCTTGCACAAACTCTGGAAGTTGTGGTTCAATTTACTCCATTATAACAGTAAGTGTTAGCTTTATTGTCATTTCTTTCACAAAAGTTTGGCCAATGTAAGATAATTGATAACATTTAAGGGGATTCAAGAACAGTGACCCAAGGGTAAGCACATTCAAATTGTTGAAGGTTGCACGATGAATTGAGAAGACCATTGAAACATAAATGAAAGGCTTGACTTAATAAGCAAAGGCATATATTATGGAAGTGAGGAAATTATGCTACACCTTTATTAAACACTGGTTAAGCCCCAGCTTGAGACTTATGCCCAATTCTGTTTTTTAGGAGGGCTATAAAGGTCTTGGAGCAGTCAAAAGGGATCCAATTGGTACCAAGAATGCTGATTTCACCTACATGGAGAAAATTTCCCAGCTGGTTCATTCTCTTATATGGAAAAGAAGGTTAGAAAGACGTTTAATTGAGAAAATAAGGAGCGATTTGATGGAGAGGTTCAAAATTATGATTTTATTAGAGTAAACATGGAGAAATCCCTTCCTGTGGAACAGATCAGTAAACAGAGGGCATAACTTGAACACAATTGACAAAAAAAGGACATATGAACATAAGAAATAGGAGCAGGAGTAGGCCATCTGGCTCATTGAGCCTATTCCGCCATACAATAAGATCATGGCTGATCTTTTTGTGGACTTAGCTCCACTTACTTGCCCACTCACCATAACTTTTCGTTCCTTTACTTTTCAAAATTCTATCTATCTTTGCCTTAAAAACATTCAATGAGGTAGCCTCAACTGCTTCACTGGGCAGGAAATTCCACAGATTCACAATCCTTCGGGTGAAGATGTTCCTCCTCAATTCAGTGCTAAATCTTCTCCCTCTTATTTTGAGGCTATGCCCCATCGTTCTACTAAATGCTTTTATGTAATAATTTGTTATGATCACAAATGCTTGACCCGAAAGGTTAGTGGAAGTAGATTCAGTATCAATCATATAAAAGAAATGGATAAATACTTTAAGGGAATAAATTGCATGGCTTTGGGGAATCAACCGGGATACGGGATGAATTGGGTATTTTCTTAAAGAGACAGCACACACATGTTGGGTGAATGGCCCTTTGCACCTCATCTTCTATGATACACATCACAGTTAGTGAGCTTCCATGAATGGTTAGGGTCTTTCGATCAAAGTGAACTAACTGGTTATCTTAGGGATAGTAGGAACTGCAGATGCTGGAGAATCTGAGGTAACAAGGTGTAGAGCTGGATGAACACAGCAGGCCAAGCAGCATCAGATGAGCAGGAAGGCTGACGTT